TAGGTTGGTCTCCCTCAGCAGTGATTAGTGCTACTCCTCAGTATCATGTCTTTGTTAATAACAGTAATGGTATTATTATGATTGATAACACTACAAATACTGAGCTGTCTCTCTCATTACATCCTGATGATGAATATAATATTAGACTAGTAGCTACTGGGGAAGACCTACAAAGTGAAATAATCACTGTTACTGTACCTCAAGGTATATTTTATGCATAGTGTATTTTGATGTTTCTTTCAGTTGTCAGTATTGATGTACAAGGGCCAGTTATGATGCCATTGGATCATTCTTCTTCCTTTTCATTAACCTGTACATTGACATTAACTCCTCAAGTGAATGTTACTATTCCAGAAATGTACTGGGCAAGTCCTTATCTCATTCCCTTTAAGTCTACAACTGATGGATTCATAGTTTTAAATGCTTCAGAGCCTACAATGATATCAGTTAATGATAATGTTGTATATACACTTACTCTTAACTTCAGTTCATTGCAACCATCACAAGTTGGAGAATATGTTTGTAGGACTCTACTGAATGATAGTAGCAGTACTGTTAGTGTAACATCAAACTATTCTGTATCTGTACAAGGTAAGAATTTATAATTAACTTTATTATATTTTATATCTTTGGTTCATACAATGTAGTACCTACTCCTATAGTCACAGCTAGGGTTAATACAACAGGATGTATTTTTGAGAGCAATAACATCCAGTTATTGTGTATCGTCACTATTACTCCACTGGATGTTAATCATATCGTTACTATTAACTGGTTTGGACCTAATGGACTCATTACAATGGATGATGCTAAGTATAGCATTAGTACTGGGATAATCAACTCAACTAATTATGAAAGTAGCTTAACATTCACTGCATCTCTATCAGATAATGGAACTGATTACTATTGTACTGCTATTGTTGGACCTGCTAGTACTGTGAATGGGTTTGAACTCATTATACCTGCTACTGCCACATCAAACAATATTAATGTTATAATTGAAAGTGAGTTATAATTTGCTAACCACAATAATTTTTCTTTCCTAGTTGTACCATTACCAATGGTGTCAGTTAATGATGTTGGTATTCCAGTAACAGGGGATTCATTCCAGTTAGTGTGCACTGGAACTGCACCAGCTAATGTATCAAGTATTGCTACTGTTAGTGTTCAATGGCTCCTTAATGGTACTGTGTTTACTAATGATACACTGGAAGGAGTCACTGTTACTAATAGTGGGTCTATGGCCACATTATCATTCAGTTCTCTTAATGCTTCTACTCATGAAAGAGATAATTATACTTGTGAAGCTACTCTTAGTATTCCTGA